TCTTTCCCTTAGCAAAATCATTTTTTAAAAAATGCCCCCACCAAACATGAGATCTGAACAAACCTTGTTTTCAAATAATTTTTGTTGTTGCTCTTGTTTTTTTGTTTGTTTGCCAGCGGTACCTTAACTTCTCGGTAGCAGTATGCAGTTATTTTTCCATCAGCCTTACATCCTTGCTCTCACTTCAAATTCCGAAGGAAGGTAGAAATTGAAGTTTAAAGGACTCGAGGCAAAAGGAGATGAATTGCATGACCAATTGTCCTCTGCTATCCTTTTCTTAGTACATTCTCCTTTCAAATCTTTGCCTTCAAGAATGTTTCCTTCAATGTTTCTTTGTTGGTGTTTCTGTCTCTCTCCCTACCTCCCTCTCTAGAAGAAAAAAAAAAAAAAAAGGCTGTTTTTCATTTTGGTACCTGCAACTGCCAGAGCTGAATCCACGTACCCTAAGCAAATATTTTAAATGGAAAACAGAGGAGAAAACACTATTGTAAGCCATGGGCTGTAGTTTGGTTCAGCCACTTTGACTGCAAAAGCCAGTCAATTTATATTGCTTTTGGTGAGCAGCAGCGAAATTTGATCTACCATGGTGATGCTTCAAGAATCTGTCTTTGCCTTTTATTTTCTTGCACGGTCCCCAAACTCGCCCCACTATTTCTCATCTGAAACAGATGTCCTCCTTGAGGATATGTATGCCTCCCACTGGCTTGCCCTGTGCCTTCACCTTTTTGCCCCGGTGGACAGATGAGCCCACAGGGCTCTCTCCCCAACCCTAGAGCCAACCAAAGTGCAGCCAGAACAGCAGCAGAGCAGCCCTGTCTTAGCTGGTTAGAGTCTGGCTGCTGACCAGGTTGCATTTCCAGGAATCCGGGACAATTCACTTTGCAGCGTTTTGTCTCTCGGGCAGCTTTGTGCCCCAAGAGCCACTTTTCTAAATCTCTTAACTTCTTTTTCTGGCTATGCAGAGAACGGGACTTCAGGGGATTCCTTAACGTGGTTAATTATAAAGTCAGTGCTGGAAACCAAGAGAATCTCAGACACCAAGGGTTGTTTCCCTTAACCCCGGAGTCTCTGGCGTGTGTGCAGAAGGTACAGGCACTGTAAGAACTTCAGAGGTGGTGGCAGGTGCCAGGGTGTGGCTGCAGTTGTCTCCCTTTTCTCTTCCAGCAGAAGGAGCCACCTCTGGGGGGGGGGGGGGGGG